AGTTAGTGGCTGGTGGAAGCTTTGGATCTTTTTCATACAAGTTTATGGCAGAACATAAAATTGTACTAAAATTCTCCAAGGATCATAATTTAACAATTTGTTCTTTACTGTAATAATTACTAATGTAACCTTTGTAGTGAATGTAAAAGTTACAGAAATTGAGCCCATTACTTTTTTTGTGTTTTATAATAATCTTTGCATTTGGAATAGTACTGGTAAGGTCTCGAAGAGCTTCGCAACGTTAGTGTCGGGTATTTTGTAGACAAAACGGAACAAAACAAAAAAGAAGGTATTTGTTTGAAAATAGGAACCTCGCTACATTTTGAAAGATATTTTGAGGGTCACCTTTAAACATTTTTCAGGTTGTAGAATTTTTGTCCTCACCTCATGGAGGGTGTCACGGGCAGAAGATCCAGTTCTCACCGGCAGATCCAGTTCTCACCGACTACTCAAACGCTCTCTTTGCCGGTCTCCCCTGCTCCACTATTCATAAAATTCAACTAATTCAAAACGCACGCATTCTCACCCGCACTAAACTCCGTACCTCCACTGCCCCAGTCCTTGTCAAACTCCATTGGCTCCCTGTCACAGAGCGGATCGATTTCTAGATCCTTACTCTTGTATTTAAATCCCTTCATGCCCTGGCACCCACTATCTCTCCAATCTGCTCTCTCCCTAAACTCCTACCTGCTACCTCAGCTCGACTGGCTCCAGTCTCCTCCTTTTCCTCTCGACCCTCCGCCCCACCATCGGCGGCCGTGTTTTCAGCCACTACACCCCAAAGCTGTGGAACTCTCCCTCAGTCCTTTGCCTTGCCCACTCTCTCCCCATTTTCAGGTCACGCTTGAAGACCTTCCTCTTCGACCAAGCCGACGGTAACCTTCCCCCTCCCCATGGCTCGCCATCGGGCTCCATCACTGTTGAATGCTCCGCGACACCGGTGTGAAGGGCGCTATATGAATGCAAGTTGTTGTCATCCTCACACACACTTTGACTTCACAGCTGGGGAGTGGTCAGGACTGACGATTATTTTTCTCCGCTCCAGACCAGGTGCCAGATGAAGTAACACTCTAGTTAAGAGACCAGCTATCTCTGCACAGACCAAAGGCACGATATTCCATCTAACATTAATATGCACAGACCATTTAGTTTTCTAAGTCAAGATCAAATGAAATTTTTTTAAACAACAATCTTAATTAGGAAGTCATTAGTTTCAGGAACCGCAGCTTCCAAATTAAGACTGGATTTAAGAATTTTTCACAATTTTGCACAATCTTAAAAAATTTCGGACAAAATGGTCAGGCAGGTTATAACAATAATAGTAATAATATGCCTTGCATTAGATTTACCATGTTACCACATCATTGAGACATCTCTAAGCGGTTCACAGAATATACTGTAAAGTGAATTGACCCAATATGTTGTGGGCGAAATTGTGATGCAGCTCGGTGAAATCTCAAGCCTGAACAGAAATTGAACCTGCAACGTTCCGGTCAGTGCCATCCACCGAAGAACACAAGATGCTTATCCGTTTTCCTTTAAGAAAGTTCCCTTTAAGAAAGTTTCCTCTTTACAAAATCAGGTGACTGCCTCCTTCGGTTCTTGGCTGGGTTGGTTGGCAGATATTTTGTGTTGCTGCGTCTGAGAGTGTTTGTACGTTTCCAGTTAGTTATTTGTTCCTGAATGATTTTTTTTGATTGCAATGTTTTTTTCTTGGAGTGGGGGGGCTTCGGCTTTTGAGTAAGTTTTTGCAACTTTCAAATATCTTTTTTTCGGGGGCTCCGGGTTTGTCTGATTTGTGCAAAAAAAAAGTCAGCTCTCTCAGAGGTGCGGAACCAAATGTTGCTCACTGAAGGTAGTCATTATCTACATCTCACCAGATTATTATTATTATTAATATCTCACCAAATTAAAGCCGATTAGACCAGTGCTGCCCAACCTTTATGGTCGGCCAACAAAAATAAATTTTCTTGATTGAATATTCCTTTGATTGACGGCATGAATCCAAAAATGTTCATTCAAGATGGTTATCCACCACAGGTTGGCCATGGGGCATTAGACTGTCGTGGTATTTGGCTTTGCTCCTACCCCCCCCCCCCGCCCCCTGTTCCCTCCGCACCGTGTCTTCATGCCACCTCATGTTCAGGTCCCTCCCTATCGCTGCGGCTCCCTGCAACCGAACGCCCCGCTGCTCCCTCTGCTCAGCCAGCATCGGCCTTTGCTACTTGTCCCCCGCCCAGCCAACCTCCACTGCCCTTGACTGAGCTTTCAGCTGTTTTCCCTCCCACTGACCAGCTGCCTGGGCTGCTTTCCTGACCGCTGAGGCCACCTTTGATCTTTCACAGTGATGTCAATGTGGAAAGAGCGGCCACACAGCACGACCACGACGATGAGTCTCGGGTACGCAAACCCCGAAGCTCAGCCAGTCAGCAGTGCCGGCACTTCATATCTTGTTAACAATTATCCTGCATTGGTTATGGTGTCAATAATATTGAAACATCTCAAATCACTTTAAAGTTATTGCTGGGTTTGAAGGCAAACTCGGCAGCCAATTTGCGCACAGCAATGCCATGTGAAGTGACTGCTCAGTTCTATTTTGGGGAGGGGGGATTGTTGGCCAGGATACCAGGGATCTCCCTTCCCAATTCAAATGGTGTCAGGATCATTAACACCCACCTGACGTCAGAGATAGGGCTTCAGTTTAACGTCTCAGCTGAAGAATGACACCTCTGACAATGAAGTGTTTGTGCACTGACCCCCCACCACCACAGCACTGCAAGAGCGAGTCAGCTTAGTCTATGAGGGAGCGGTTTTCCAAATTAAGTCTTAATTTAGCAATATTGCAAGATGTTAAAACAATGCTCTTAAGACAAAACCATGAAGATTTCTTATTTTACCAGTGGCCCCTTCCTATCTGTTTTCTAGACCCGATAGCCTCACTCATGCTAAGGTCAGCAGAGCTCTGCTGGGGCTTTTTTTTTGTAACAATTCCCATATTTTATTTTACTGCACGTTCTCTGTGTCTCTGATCTTCCAGTCAATGTTGCAGATGTCGTGTAAAAGTAATGTAATGTTTGTAAAGCTGGCGTCCAGTACTTGAGCAGATTGTTGCTAAAGCTGAATTGATCCTTTTCCATTGTTTCCATAGTTACACAATCTTACGCTTCTGTGTTTGGGTGTTTTTTCCCCTTATACCTCCCCCCGCACCACCCCAGAATTGTCCAGAATCCATTGCAGTTTGGCTTCAAGCCAATTTCCTAGATTGTTTGATATTTGTTATTACAGATTTTTGTGAGAGGTTATTTATTTGTACACTGAAGTACTTGCAGTTAATGTATCAACAGATGCATTTCACTATGCTCTGAAGATCTGAGTTGCATTGAGTGGTGAACTGCAAGGGTGTGTCTTCACTCAGGCACCTGAAAGGTTGTTGCTTTGTCAATGACTTTTTTGCAAAGTTATTAACTCCAAGCAGCAGTCCCTTATCACTGATTCCTTCTTTTGGAAAGGTATTCTTTTTTTTACAGTAAGCTGTGTATACAGGACAGCCCTGGCATAATGCACCTCTTTAGAGTGCTGAATCGGTTGTAACGAGATTTACAGTACGTATGTTCTGGCCAATTCTGACACAAAAATATCTCACTTCTGCATCATCAGTTTACCGCTGACATCACTTCCTGCTTTGTGCACAGCAGTGGTGTCTGTAACGACCTGATGACCTGGAAACCGGGCTTTTTTTAGTACGACAACGATTCAGCGAGGCGGTTACACTGTGAAACCATCATGGCCCTGTTAAAGCAATGGGCTTTATTGACCCCAAGTGCCACGTTATAAAGACTCCAGGTGCACAGAGATAAATTCTGGTGTCAGAGATTAACTTAAAATTCCTCGTTTGTCAAAGAGAAATGAAGCTACAGGTCTGTAAATGTGCCTATTGTTTGTTAAATGCTTGTTCCTCAAACACTATTAAGATCTCAAAAAGAATAGGAAGTTTCTGCAGGTGTCCTCTGAATAAATGGCTGTTTTAGGACATTGGGTAAGACATTGTAGGACATTTTCTGTGCTGAAAATGTGCTGTCGCTTTTTCCTAAAGGAAACAGTCACTACCCTTGACACTAATTACTCTGAAAGTCTTTGAGACATTTTGATGTGAATAATGTGCAATAAAAGTTGCAAGTTCTTTCCTTAAAGTTAATTTAATCTACAAACACTCTGGCTCTGGAGTAAACCCGTTTTATATTGTGGGCTCTTTTGCCAGAGGCAAGGCAATGTTACTGATGCTGAAATACTCTTTAGGATTCATTACCAAGATAAAACATGGTTAGCTGTGAAAGCAAAGTCAGCTCTAGTACTGAATGCAGATGAGAACTTTCACTAATGAACACATCAGATAGAAGTGCTATGTTATTAAAACTCCCCTACATTACTTAATGCGTCATCCGTGAATGGAAGGCAGTCCAGTTGTCTGTGGTTAATCTTTGGTGAAATGCTGTTGGTTCAGTGTTCTGGATGGTCAAAGCTAGGTTTTCTTTAACCAGTTCAGCCTTTACTATTAGGATGATATTTCATAAATATCTTGAATTGCCTTGGCAGAGGTTTCCCTTTCACGGGCCGTCATATTGAATAAAAGTGCTCCAATAAAAATAAATCTCTGGTAACATGGTTTACGGTACTTTAGCAGGGATTTGTCTCCTGGGCAGTGTTTGCTTATTTATGTTTTTTAATGCTTCCCTGACATATATGACTGTTTCAAAGTCACTGACTATTGATTTATAATACATTCAATATCCCATGCAAGCAGTGAGCTTGGCCCCTCTGTGTTTTTGAACATGCATTCCTCCTGCTTACTTGCTGCATTACGTCTGAACGCACACAAGCCAGTCAGTCAGTCATCCACTGTCTCCTGCCTATTTTTTTGGAGGGGAGGGAATTGTCACAGCAAACTAGCTGTGATGTCACACCATCCTGCTAACACATGGTTGGTTATTCTTGTGTTTCAGATCACTGCCTGGAGCTGTGCATAAAAGAGCAGACAAGACTCCCACGTCTCTCAGTCAGCTAAAAAGAAATCAGCAGAGCAGATTAATGCAGACTTGTGTCTAGTGGCCCTTCATACAAAGGCTGCCTTTAAAGAGAACATAGTGATATTTAATGAGCTGTGAGATGAGGCCCTGCTGGTAATACTGGAAGCACAAGACTCTTCCTCTATTCAGCTTGCTCGATATACATGATTCAACACAGTGCATTTGGAACAGCTCAACCAAGATTCCACAACGGCTGCTGGGGACAGGCCACTGAGCATGCCTACCGAGACGCTACAGGCAGATAGCATGGTCAAACCTGTTGGCTCCATGGCCACCTTCACGTCAGCCGTTCCTCTGCGTATCCTAAACAAAGGGCCAGACTATTTTCGTAGACAGGCAGAACCCAACCCCAAGAGACTGAGCGCTGTGGAGAGGCTGGAGGCTGATAAAGCCAAGTACGTGAAGAGCCAAGAGGTCATCAATGCCAAGCAGGAGCCGGTGAAACCTGCCGTCCTGGCCAAGCCCCCGGTGTGCCCCGCCGTCCGGCGGGCAGCCGGCACCACTGCCCAGAAGATCGCCAATAACCACAAGGCTGAAAGCAGCGCGAAGCGGGAGAACTTAAACCTGGAAATCCTGAGGAACATAATCAACAGCTCGGAGAGCTCCACATCGGGCTCGGTGCACAAACACAGCACGAGAAACTGGCCCCAGCACAGGCCTGCCTCCACGGAAATCAGCCGTCGCACTTTTGCGGAGTCTATTCAGGTCTATACCAATGAAGGCCGTGGCAGCCCGCAGGGGGGTAACCTGAATGTGACTAAAAAATTGTTTGAGGACCAAGTCAGCGATTCGGTCCTGCACGTTTCCCACAGTTCAGCAGAAGTGAGGAGAGTGGCGGAAGCCAAGCCTTTGAAAGCCATCCCCTGCAGCAGTTCTGCGCCACCCGTTCTACCCAAGCGCAACATTCCGACCTGCAACGTACCCACGTCACCAACGCAAACCACCCCCGAACCGGCCGGCAATGCCAGCCGGAGGCCTTCGCTCCACCGGTCCAAATCTGACCTGAGCGACAGGTACGCTCGCGCCAACGCTGACGTGGAGCGCTTCTTTAACTACTGCGGACTGGACCCTGAGGAGCTCGAGAACATTGGCATGGAGAACTTCACAAGGGCTAACTCAGACATAATCTCCCTGAACTTTCGCAGTGCGAGCATGATCAGTTCAGACTGCGAGCAGTCGCGAAGGAGCAATGACGACCTGACAGACGACGAGGACGCCAACGACCGTGTGCCGTACGGCATCTCGGCTATCGAGAGGAATGCCCGGGTCATCAAGTGGCTGTATAGTTGTAAACAAGCGAAAGAATCCCAGAAAGTATCTCACGTTTGAGGAAAGGACATGTTAATTATTCTGTTTGGATTCAATTTTTTTGTTTGTTTTTGTTTTTTTTCGGTCTGTGAATCTTTAGTTGTGAAAAATTGTGAAGTCCGCTGAGATGTCTCAGAACTCAATCCCATTGTACATTCTCTCATTGCATGCTGATCAACTCATGCTCAGAACCAGCCTCCACCTCAAAAAAAAAGCGCACAAGCAGGACATAGACATGGACACTTCAGCTGTTATAGAAATGTTCATTGAGCACGAGACATTGCGCACACATTTCATCATACATTTCAAACAACCCATAAATGACTTCTCCTCTTTCCTCTCCTCTCACAACCTTTCCCTCCCGCATCCACTCTGCCACCCACATTCACGGTCACCCATTCGACCTGGTGATTATCCAGGGCCTCAGTGTCTCGGATATCACAATCACAGACAAAGCCATCTCCGATCACCATTTCATCTCCTTTAACTGCTCAATCCCTCTCCCCACCACCACCAAACCCACCTCCATCTCCTACCGGCCCTGGAAAAAAATCTCCCCGTAATTCCTCTCCGTGGCCCTGGAGTTATCTGAACTCCTCCCCCTCTGGCCTACCTCCCGCGCTGATTTACCCTCCTCGCTCACTCTCCTCCACAACTCCCTCTCCACCACTCTTGATGCCCTTGCTCCCCTCACCTCCCGAACCACCTCCTACGCACGAACCTCACCCTGATACATCAGCCATCTCTGCTCCCTCAAGAGGCATAGTACAGGCCGCCGAATGGCATCGTTCATCTGGCACCGTTCCCCCTAAAAACTGCTACAATCATCCCAATCCTGAAGAAACCTTCCCTGGAGCCATCCCTGCTTTCTAACTACCAACCTGTCTCCAACCTCCTTTTTCTTTCCAAGGTCCTTGAAAAAGTCAAATGTCCTTTCTCCCCCATATCCATGCCATGACACGCTCTGCCTTCCCCCACCTCCGCAACATTTCCCGACTCCGCCACTGCCTCAACCCTCAGGCCGCCGAAATCCTCATTCACGCATTCATCACCTCAAGGCTCGACTATGGAAACTCCCGCCTTGTCAGTCTCCCCAACTCTTCCCTCCACAAACTGCAGATCATCCAGAACTCTGCAGCTCGTTTCCTCTCCCGCACCAAACTCCCTGACCCCATCACCCTCGCCCGGCTCCAGTGGCTCTCCATCCCCCAGAGGATAGAATTCAAAATCCTCATCCTCACTTTCAAGGCCCTCCACAGCCTTGTCCCCTCCTACATCTCTGACCTGCTGACCCCTTAACAACCTGTCCGCTCCCTCCATTCAGCAGGCTCCAGTCTGCTCCATGTCTCCCCCCTCGAACCGCCCTACCATCAGCAGCCTTTGGAACTCCATCCCACAATCCCTTCGCCTTTCTCCCTCCTTTGCTTCCTTCAAGGCACAACTCAAGACCCTCATTTTTGAGCGTGCCTTCAGCTGCCCTCCTATACCCTCTGCCCTCCCTCATCCCAACCCTGCCCCCCATGCTCAGGTCCTGATCTCCAACTGTTCAGCACCTAGGGACGTCCTCCCAATGTGAAAGGTGCTTTACAAATGTAATTTTGTTGTTGTTGTTGTTAATGGGGTGGGGGGAGGGTATGGCCATTATTGTTGCCGATCCTCTTTACACATAATAAATGGATTCAGAGGGTGGGGGGTGGGGGGAACGAGTCATTTCATCTATCTCAGACTGCATTGTGCTGAAAGTTATATGTATCTCACCCGAGGCTGTAAAATGCATGGCTCCAGCCCATATAATCTGTAATGGCAGCAAGTCGCCTGTAGCGTTTGTCACCAAGTTGTGCAGCTGACACGCACACACGCCAGCCAGTATGGTACAGCCCTGACCATCCATGTCTTCCAAATCTCCATCAGCCACCATCTGACCTGTCAACCGCAAGACAGCTCTGGGGGAAAGTGCAGAGTACAGTGGATGACCCCTGTTCAATAGTTCATTGTTGCTTTTTAATATACAGTGCTGTACTTCATTTCATATAAAGAGACTGGTGCCTCAGCCCATTGGGAAACTAAAATTTTTTGTATTGTGTAAATGCTGTATGGATTTGTAAATACTTCAAAGCTGTTCCAGATCTGTAAAGAAGAGTCTGTACTAATAAATAGTTTCTGGTTCATTTGTCACCATTCTGTAAAGTTTGTGTTTCAGTCATAAAACGTTTTTTTTAACACAATTTAAAAAAATAATAATCTGACTTTGTTATGGGCCCTCTGGATTCACACAGCGATGTAATCATTGAGGTCACAGGCAAAGCAATATTTAGTAAAGAAAAAGCACAAACTAATTCAAGCATATTGGTCTGTTGTAAGAGCCTGATAATCTAGTACAGGATTTTTTAAAATATACATTTGCACAGTGGGATTTTCTAGCATATGACATTGCTTTTGTATATTCATGAGCGCTCCTGAAAGTTGTTATCAACACTAGAAAAGGCTAAATTGCAGCTGTAGTAAACACCACATGAATATTTAGAAGGTGCAGACACAAATGGAACAACCAAAAAACTGTTATTGAAAATCATTGGCCTCTAATTTTCCCTGGCCTTGGCTCATTAGTCCATTTTGTCTTCAAATGTAAGATGGTGCGGATTTGTGCAGGTTCTGTGAACCCAATAAAAATAATAAGAATCCTAACATTTGGTATAACGTCTTTCATGTCGGGAAGATATCTCAAAAGTGCTTTACAGGATACGCTGTGAAGATAGTGAAATAAGTGGATAGTGGATAAGATAGTGGCGTGACTGGGGAGATTTTTAAGACAGAGTAGTCTTGTGTGGTAAAAAGTGAAATTTCAGGCCTAAGGTATGTTCGAGCCCCATCACTATAATTCCTTCTAATGATAGTGAAGTGCAGTTAAAATAGGACACTAGTGACAAATCCCTTTCCCTAAGAAGGCATTTTTGAGAGGGAGCATGTGTGTCTGTGTGTTTGTTGGGAAGGGGGGTGGGGGGAGAGTAGTTGATCAGTCTTGTTGGGAGTCCTGTAGCACTCGCCTCGCAAGCAAGAAACCTTAGGCAAGTTTCCTTACTCCGCATGCCTCTGTTTACCTAACAGTAAGTAGGAAACCGATGGTTTGTTGATTAGTGGATCGTTTTCCAGGGTTAATAATCCCTCCCAAAAAATGTGGTTATTCAATCCATCACTCTGTGCAATTGGCTGCCGCGTTTTGCCCACAAAATATACAGTCAATTCATTTTACAGTATATTCTGTGAAGCGCTTTGAGACATCTTGAAGATGTGATAGGGTGTGATATCAAATGCAAGGATTATTATTCTGTGAAATGCTTTGAGACGTCTTGACATGATAAGGCACTATATCAAATACAAGGGTTATTATTTTGGTGGAGCAGCTGGATTCCCTGCATGGTAACTTTCTTTTGAGGGGAGAGAGGGAAGCCAACACACTTTGGTTGCCAGGTACTTGTGAGCTTTTCATTACGTATTTGAACCAAGACTTCCTGTTGATTTGATGGTAAAATGACTTGTTCCACATTCTTGTCTCACCAGTAATGTGTTTTTATAAGCTTTGGGTGTGGGCGGGGGCCCTTACAAGAAAACCTTGCTGAGATGAAACGATTCTTAATGTGACATGAAAAGCTCTGTTTAAATGCAAATTGTTTTTTTTTGTATCAATAGCAAGTTATGCGGCTTTAGCTGGTTGGACTCCAGCAGTACCCCAACTCACGCTCTGGGGCCCCCAAGCCTTGGTTCTTGCCAATCTGCGCCTAATAAAGTTCCGGTATTCGGTAAGCAGGATGCATCCCTCCATGGAGAAAGTGTGCAGGGAGAAAGATTGCAATAATCTATCTCTGGGATTTTCATGTGAAGGTGGGATGCATGGTATTCTCAGCTAGGTTTGGATACTTTTAAGCATGGTGATGGTTTCCACATGTGTCAGACACCTGGCTGACCCCCAAAAATTTGTATTTGGTTGCCTTCCATTACAAAAGGGATGAGAAATGGACTGTAAACATTAGTGATCTTGAACCAGTTGCTGTCCTTCTGTGCCCTCAAGTTATCTCCAGAAACTGGCCAAGAAAATCCTGCAAAACAGTTATACAAATTTTGCAATAAAACTGTTTTATGGCAGAATATTTTAATGGGTCTTGGGAATATACCCAATAATGAAGCAGATCAGAAAAATCAGTCGATGCTTCCATTAGTAGAGGAAACCACTTAACATGCTTGGATCATAGTTTACAGACTAAAGTGATTAAGCACTCACAGATTGGAAAGAGTAAGCTGTGCTCATTCAATGTTGTACGCAGTGATTTGCGGTTTGCCTCCAGTTGTCCTGGGTGAGTAGACATACTCAGCAGATCCGTATTTCTTTTGCTTCTGATGCATTATATAATGCAGTAACGCTATCTGGGGGAATGGGCTTTAGAGAAAACAGAATGTGCATTATAATTCTGATAAATGTAAATCGCATCATGCACCATCAGTTGGCTGGCCTTCAGGTTACACTCTGGAACACCATCCCTGAGTCTTTTTGACTCGCCTCTTTCCCACTGTCTTTCCTGAACCCCACCCCAACCCCAGCACAGGTGCAAACCCTGGACTGTTCAGTGCCTTGGGACATCTTCCCAAAGCAAAAAGCACCATATAAATGTAAATTTGTATTGGATGCTGATGTTTACTTCCTGGCTGACTCTTTAGCTTAAATTGTCATTTGTTTTAATACGATGTCTGTTCATGAACACACGTTTGTGTATCCAGCGCCTGGATAATCGCCCTGTTTGTAAACCTCGTTGTCCAAAGCATTTCTCCTGAAAATAAGATCAGAGAGAATAGAATCAATTCATTGACTACAAAAACCTTAACACAATTGACATGAGCTGCCCATGGCTTATCAGAGATAACCAAAATGGAGGAACACATTGTCCTATCACATTCTGCTGGACAGCTATACAGTCAAATGCTATTTGAAGTAAACTTCAATAAATGACAGGATGAGTTTCAGTAAAAGCCACAAGCTGTGCTTGTGTTGACGTTCAGCTGATGTTATGTATGATTTTGTGTTGTTCTCAGTATCTCCATGCCTCTGATGGGTTTTGGTGGGCATTCTCCACTCCTTTTTATCTTCTTATGTGACCTATCTCTCTGATTTGATCATATTGCACTCCTCTGCTTGTCCCCTCAGCTCAGGTAAGATAAACCTGATGTGCATCCCTCGCATGCTCTGCATCACAAAGAATGGTCAAGCCTTCAGTCACTATGAACTTCCTTCCTCTAACCCTCCACATTCCCCCTCACCCTTGTTTTTAAATGTCATTTTAAAACCTACCTCTTCGACAGCACCTATAGTTGCCTCATCCTTCTCCCTTGCTCGGCCTGCTACTGTGAAGCACTCTGAGATTTATCCTAATTGAAGAGAACTTTATAAATGAAAGTTGTTGTTGTTACATTTGCACTGCATTCACAGCAGTGTACTTGATGTACCTTACCATTGCTGTCAACAACACTGATCCATTCTTTCCTGCTGTGAAACTGGATTTTGCTAAAACGACACATCAATGCACTGTTTGGCATAGTACCAATTGGCTAAGCTGGGTGAGTTAGTTTTGGTTGTTGAAGTTCTCATGTGTATCTTGCCAGAACTGTTTTGTCTCTAAATGCAGCACTATAAAGGGATTGAAACACTGGCAACGATTGTTGGTAGATGTCGACGTGGAACTTTATATTTCAAAATGTGGTTCTTTTAAGAATGAAGGTCAATAATTTCTTTTCATTCTCTCCCTTTGCCACTTGTCCCCTGAAAGAAGCAAAAACTTAGTGGTAATTCCAGCACAGAGGTAGCCTGTGACTCATCCAAGTGACCATTCCTCATAAGCATGGCATCTATCCTCCTTGTGAAGGAGGTAAGTGGGTTTCCTTGGAGCTAAACTGGCTCCAAGGCGACATGTTTGGCAATAGAAGGCTAGAATGGAGCCAATCTTCTGTGGTTCTTGAGCCAGATGTGTCTGCAGTACTCGAAGACACAGACCAGTTAGCCTGACTCATCGGCAGGACTTGGAGGAGCAAATTAGTCACTAAAAATGAGGATTCTTCCTACTCAACTCTCTCAAGCCAACAAAGCAAAGGTTGACAGGTAGGGTGGTCCTTGTTGGTTAAGCAGCAGGAAGCTTGCCAAATACACTTTAAAGTAAATCTTTTGAAGGGTTTTGAGAGGTCTCAACGACATGTTAAGATGCTGTATCAAATGCAAGGATTATTATTGATATTTGGTTATTGAAGTGAAGAATGTTTACACAGAAAAGAGAAGACTCAAGGGATATTTTATTGATCCTATGGGATATTGATAAAGAGTTCTTATAGTATGATTGAAATGCTTGAAAAAATCTGTAACTAGAGGACATGGACTTGCATTCAGAAGAGATAAAGTGAACAAACCATTCAGATTTAATTTTAATCAGTTATGAATATATGGAATAGGTGGTGTAGACATATTAAATTCAGGAGAAAATTATTTGGTGAAGAACGTATTTGAGGGGTATAAGAGTAGAGTTTTTTATACTCTGGCCAGCCAAATAATCTTTTGTTGCTATGTAAATTCCTCTTGGCATGTACTGTAATGTCTTTCCATCACCCCCAGCATCAAACCCCCAGTAGTACAAAAAAGAGGATAAATAGTACCAGGAGTGAGGAGCTGAAAGAGAAGCATTGCATAGACAATACTATATTCAGCTGTGTTAAAAAGCTTTGAGACATCCTCCCGACATGAAAGACACGTAAATGAAATGTCAATTTTATTGCATTGCATTCTGAAATAAAATAAAATTATGGGGAAACATGAAGGGAAAGCAATCAAAAAGTAATGTAAAATAAAGTACAAACACATTTCAAGATGCAAAATTAATTTAAAAATTGAGATAGAAGGCAATAAGGAAAAGTAAAAACAACAGAGAAATAGAATAAAATCAGATGCCATCGATTGTTGTAAAAGGAATTCAAATGGGTGCTTGGAAAAGAAAAATATTAAACTGTATGAGAAGTGAGTTATGCAGAGGGATTAGTTAGGTGCCTCATGTGGAGAAATATAGTGATGACTTAATGTGCCAAATGGCCCGTTTTTGTGCTGTAACATTGTGTGATTTTATGATTTAAAAAAGCTGAGTTGATGCAAATTTGAATGGAAACATAGAAGCAGTGGAAACGATCAAAGAAAGGCAATGTAAAAGACGGACAAGGAAAATGACAATCTTTAAATACTTCATGTGGAGAGATAGTGAAAAAGAGATTGCAAAGGAAAAGCGAAGGAGAGAGTACACCAGGGTGGCTCAGTGACAACAAGAGTCACTGAGGGAGATCGTAGTTCACAAGATCAAAGATTGGTTTGGTTGAAAATCCCTTCGGATTTTGATCACATCTTTCCAAAATGCCCATCTTCCCATCACAACATCTAACTGTTTTAGTCCAGTGTGGAAATGAGTCCAGTGTGCTGGTTTCAACCTCACATTGCAGGAACACATTCCAGTCACGAATTACCCTCTGAATAAAGAAAAACTTCCTGATGTCTGAGTTCAGTTTCTCTTTTGGTTTGGCAGGGAATCTTCACTGGACCGCAACACCATGTCTGCTGGTAAGTTACACAAAGGTTGGCTTTGATAGTGTCTGAAGAGTGAACACTTCCAAATGAGAAAGACCCCAGATCCCAGGTTTGCTTTTAACTAACACTGTCTCTTTGGGCAATGATTCTGCGTATTTTCTAACTACTATTTAAATATTCATGAACAAAATATTAAGTGAATTAGATAGTTTTATTACCTATCAGCTATTTTGATAGTTCTGATTTGTCACTTTTCTTCAGTACCTCTTAGTTCTTTTGCAAATTCTATTAAATTTCTATTCCATATATCAAGGCCTCTGATATTCTCTACCATCTCCATACAAATTTATACAAAAATCTTTTGCACTGTTCTTAGCTGGAGGGGGATGACATTGGCAAATCGCTGTCAGTGGAAGTAATGTGACAAGTGTTGTATAATGTCCTGCAATTAATAACCTCCAATTCTCCTAAATAGGGCAATTCTAAGTTGTATATTTCTCTATCAACAGTCAGTTTGAGTAAATATAATAGTTTTAACTTTTAAAATCTGTACCATGAGACAGTACGATCGTGTTTCTGAACAGGTTAGGAACAATTCATTGATTCTTTACACTTAGAACAGCTGTGGCATCAGCAATTTGTAGCTTGCAAATCAATTATTTGTGGATTGAAGCTATTTGTGTATAAGAATAATAATCCTTGCACAGCACACACATGCCTTAACACAGCATCAAAATGTCTCAAAGCACTTCGCAGGATTTACTGTAAAGTGCAGTTATTTTATATTTAGAGAGAGAGAGAGAAATGCATCAATTTGCATGCAGAAATGTCTTGCAAACAGTAATGTTCCAATCTAGGTAATCACAGTAATGAGGAAAATAACCATTTTGTTTCATGGGAATTGTTTGCCAGAACACCGGGAGAACACTCTTTTCAATTAGTATCGAATATGGCTATCGCCTATAAATCTGTTCAAATATTTTCAATCTGTTTTAATGTATTTAAATTTAGAAAGTTGATTTGAGGAAGTATTCCTGAAACAAAACTGAAATCCTGGGATCTGCACATAAACAGGACTAGACACTAGACTTGCTTAAAAAGCAGCTTGATACTGTGATGGGAGGACAGTAGGATAGATGTTCTGGAGGCATGGAGATCAGACAGGCTGAAAAGCCTTCTTCATCCAGACCGATCCTATGAAATGTGATAATTCTCACCAATAATCATTTATCACATCACGTACCCCACTTTGCACCACTATATATGAATATCAGAATACATTCAGGGAAGGAGTCAAACTCCGTCCATCATAGTCTGCAACACTATTGAATGAATGCATTGCATAGCTCAAAAGCTCAAACATAGCTCAAAGCAAGCTTAGGTTGTTTTAAGACTTTTTTTTACTAGAGTGCATCTCCTTCTTGCATTCAAGGTGACAGAACCCTTTCTGAGGAGTGTACAGTGACATGTTTGCAATGAAATCAATTCTTACTCCCAGAGCTCACCAAGCAGAAACCTGACTCATAAAATGCACTGATTTAGTAGTTTACAAATTTATATATTTTCTTCCCCTTTGAGGCCTCTCTGCAGCAAACCATTGATCACTATGAGAGGGTGGTATTTCCTCTATCTGAAAATTGCTATTTAGTAACCAGCAAAAATAATCCACTTGTCAACCAAAGCATAAGGTTAATGGTGTCCTTCCAATGGCATCAAAATGGTAATGTTTTGGTTCCAGTAGAAAGGCAGGAAATTTTAGAACAGATGATTATTAATTATCCTTGCATTTAATATTGTGCCTTATCGCATAGTCGAGACATCGCAAAGCGCTTCACAAAATATGCTGCAAAGTGAATTGACTGTATATTCTGTCGGCGAAGCACGGCAGCCATTTTTCGCACAGCAGTGTCCCACAGTCATGGATTGGGTGACCAAATTATTATTCATTTATTTTTTGAAGGGTTTATTACCCCTAGAAAATGATCTGCCAATCGACCAACATCTGAGCTCCTACTTACTGCTAGGTAACTGATGATCGAATATTATATTAATGATAAAGATCAGAAATCTGATCCTTAGTATTATAGTTCTGTTCGTTCTCATTGGGAAAACATTGAAATCTAAATATAAAAAGTAGTATCTGGAGAGCTTTTTATGAGTAAAGAAACTATTCTAAAGCAACAGAGTATTACAAAAGGTGGATTCTAATTATTTTATTGGAATTATTTGCATGGGTAACAGCTAATGATAAGATGGTGGATGATAGATATCTTGACTTTCAGAGCAGTTGATGCCTCGTAAAAGATTTGTGGCTAAATCGGATGCTCTTGGGATAAAAGAGAATGTTGTTCATTGGCGAATGAATTGGCTACTAAACAAAGGTCGTGATCAATTGTGGATGTTCTCAATGATTAACTGTGGCCAGAGGCTACTGTGTCATTAATCCTAGAACCGCTTCTGTTGACAATATTCCCCAATGGTCTGAGAAGGTATTAATGGTGCAATCACTAAGTTTGATGATCATGCAGGTTGTTCACAGGGAAGGGATCTATGTCAGAAATCTGGAGAGGTTTAGGAATTGGGCATTTAGGATAGAGAGATGTAATGTGTGAAGGCATTAGCAGTGGAGCACATGATTACAGGATAAAAGTCTCATCTTTATATACGATGAGTCAACAAGGAAATTGTTACCTCCCACCTAGACTTTTGAAACAGACCCCTTGCCGGTTTCTATAAACTCTATAATCTATAAACTCCAGTTCCTTCAAAATTCAGGCACCCACATCCTTATCTGCACCAAACTCTGCATATTCATCATCGATTGCTCGTCATACTCCACCATCTCCCTGTCTTCCAACAGATCGACTTCAAGGTCCTCAACCTCACTTATAAATCCCCTCACACAGTAACACCTCCCTATCTCTCTGATGTTCTACCCCACTTCTCTGCTTGCTCCCTTCCCTCGGCTAATTCCGCTGCATATCCCCCACGCCCTCCATGCCATCATTGTTGTCCGAGCTTTCGGTTACTATGCCCCTAACCTCTGGAACTCTTCCCGTCAATTTTTTTTTACAAATTGAGGGTTCAAGTCCTTTTCAAAAATGAAAGGAATGTATAAGGTGGGTGTACAGAGAGATATTGTGTAAAATCAGGATAGGAGAACTAGAAGATGTAATTAAAACCCCTGAACTAAATGTAAGATGAAGCAACTTTTTTTGCATCGTTTTATGGAATAGAATAGAATGCATAAATAATGAAGCATAACAAGGGAACTGGATCGATTCCTGAGAAGGACATGGGTTTGGAATAGACAAATGATTAAAAAAAAATGTGTTCAGACTGGGTGGATTTTGATAAGAACTTGGAATGACATGGTGCACTGAATGACTGACTGCTTTTCACTCCTTTATTTTCATGCTCTCATCTATCATACTGAGATACAGATGTACATAAATTCTGTTACATAACTGTTGCCAGATATTAAGAGAATATGGTGATTTGAGGCTTGGCACGTAGTTTCAGGTCAGGAGTCTATGCATAGTTCCTAGATTCAGCAATGTACAGCTTCTGTAAAGTAAGATGCCTACTATTAATTTAGGATGTGCTGTGAATAAAACAAGAGTAGTTGATTCAAGTTACCTTGATGAACGATGGTGCTTGCCTGCACAAGCCTGATTATGTGTGTAAATGAAATTCCTTCCAGCCCGGCATGTGATCTGGGCAGCCCAGATAATAAAATCCTGTGCCTCAGTAGATTGATTATTTCCCAACTGCATCCTGCTTTCCATATAAATGTGGTTTCAAAAAGAGAGGAAGCCAGCAAGGTGGAAGTTAGATGAACACAAATTATAATGGTAAGAATCTATTTCAGATTTAGAATCTCCAAATCTGTAACTATGCTTCAATTAATTCCACATTGTTCTTTATTGTCTTCTAGATCTCCAAGCAAAAAAAAAAGATGACTTGCTCCAAAACTTTGGCCAACTGGTAAGAAATGCACAATCATTTATGGTCAGTTGTTTTCAGATTTACTTCCTCTGGGAGGACTGTCCTGATGTGATGGATGTGCCTTGAAGACCTATCTCTTCAACTGCATCTATGCTCGCCTCTCCCTCCTCCGTTGCTCGGCGCTCAACCCCACCATCATACAGCACTCCAAGGCGCTATCAAAGCAATTTCATCAAAACAGTAGAAACACTGGTGTAAACATGTAGAAAATGGAGAAAAAAATACATCAGTGTAATCCAGTCCTGGTTTGTTTCTGCCTCTTTGACTGAGATGATCCGGGAATTTAAAAGTGTCACTTTATAAAAGATCAAACAGCTAACAAACTAATTTTATTAGTGTACTTAGCTTAACTTGTGAGACACTATATTTCTAAATGTTTACTCAGGGTATTTGAGAAATGTAGAAAAGGTCATGATGGCAAAGCCACATTTGTTCAGGGTTACAGTATACCCTGTGAAGCGCTTTGAGATGCCTTCCTGATTTGAAAGGCACTACTCCAAATGTAAAGATTATTATAGGGTTATTATCTAGAGATAGATAATCAAAGGAATCTCGTCTGGAATCAGACAAGCTGGCTAAACTAGCTGACGGTTTACTTCAGAAATTGTTATTGTGTATTCTTTTACAATCATAGTTGTGCTTTAATCTTTTAATATTTGTGTTTTAATGCTCTTGCCAGTTTGGTTTAAGATGATTTAGTTTTTTCCTCCTTTTTATTCATGGCTGACGTCCAGATTTATTTATTTTCCACTCTGAATGTTTTTGCGCTTGCACTGAAATTAGAAAAGAGCAATATTTACACAAGTCAATGCGTTGCCTTGTAATGGGTGTAACGAGATGAACTGCAAAGACCTTCTATATACACATAGTGCTCTAAGGGAATCAAACAGTTCAGACCTCACAGGGTGTGAGAAAATGTGAGAAAAACATAATAACTACTGTGAGACAGAAAGGATTACATTTTTCCTCCTCCAAAAACTTTTCTATTAAATATGTAGCAGGCAGGAAATCAGAACTGACAAACTCTCCACAGCACACAATTTACACATTCACTCAAGTGATCACTAATTGCAGTCTGTTTGACAATCAGAATGACAATGAAAAATGATGAAAGCCTGAATAAACTTGGGATATATTCCCCAGATCCGAGGAGGTTAAGGAGTGATCTGATAAAGGAAATGATCTGACTGAGGTGTTTGACATAATAAAGGGGAATGTACATGGGAATCCAAAACAAGGCCACATAATCGTAAAATTCTATGGAGGATGGTTAAAAGGGAATCCAGAAAAATATTTCTCAGTACTTATTTTGAGGTTTCAGTATACAATTGCATATCAGAAGGGTTGAGGGAAAGCTTCTGTCTGGTGGAGCCCAGCAAAACCTGTTGTGTATTGGTTAGAACACTCGCCTTGCAAACGAGAGGACCTGGGTTCAATTCCCGGGCAGGGCGAAACCTTGAGCTAGTTTCCTTACTCCACATGCTTTTGTTTATCTAGCAATAAGTAGGAACCTGGTTGTTAGTCAATTGGCAGATCGCTTCCTGTGGGTAATAATCCTTTAAAAATATATTGGTCATTCAATCCACAACTGTTTGTGGGACACTGTGCAATTGGCTGCCGCGTTTCATGCACAAAATATAGCCTTTTTATATACTTTACAATCTATTCTGTGAAGCGCTTTGAGACATCTTGACAAAGTAATAAGGCACTATATCAAATGCAAGAATTATTATCATTATTGTTAATGTACCACAGTATTATATCTGTCCCCATAGCAGGAATGGACTCAGAAGAAGAAAGTAAAGCAAACAGGGCCACATTCTCACTTTTGGCCTCGTGAACCTCAATAGTTGGTGTTACTGACTACAGAATGGTGCATTTCAGCATAATTATTATGTGAGGATTTTTGTTCTAATTGTTGAAGGAGTACTTTTGTGCGACTAAAACTTGCCTGACAAAATCAAGGGATTGCGCTGGAAGTCCAGCATTGCTTAGATGATATCACTAGCATTGCTAAGCCAGAAGTTCTGCCCATTCATGTGGACATTAAAGATACTGTGGCCCTATTCGAAAAGAGAGTTTCTCCCGATATCTGCAATCAAAATTGATCGTTCATTTCATAGCTGTTTGTGGAACATTGCTGTGTGCAAATTGTTTCCTTGTTCACCTACAAAATACACTTTGAATTGAATTACCTTACTTCATTCAGTAGTAGAATCCGTACACAATTCCTTTTGCAATTAAACCTGTGGCACAGAGAGCTAGTCATTGGCCATTCTGGCAGAAATAATCTGAAATCTCACTTCACAAAAATTATAAAATCTCTAAAATCCGATATACAGCACACCTAATGTACTCTATAAAAAAGCAATTAACTTGTTCCCAGGAATGATTTGCACAACAAATGTCACAGTAATGAATTGCCACATTTAATAAGTAGGTCAGTGTGACATTCAAAACCCAATACTTTCCCACTAACTATATGACCAAGTTGGGTGGTACTGTACTTGTTTGCTAATGCAGTAGTTTATAGGCCCAAAATTGCATCTGGTCTTAGCTTGTAAGACCATGTTATCGTAAAATTTAAGACCACACAGAATTGTGAAAAGTTCTTAAATTCAGTGTTAATGTGGAATCTGGTTTCTTTCCAAGAACACCTGACGGCTTCCACATTAAGACCGAATTTAAGATTTTTTCACAATTCTGCTTAATCATAAAAGTTATGACAAAATGATCTTATAGACTAAGACTGGATAACACTTTGGGCCTCATGAGTCTAATGTGGAAAATAAATTCCTAAACTTATACTTTTATATAGAATACACAACATTCCAGCATCTTCATTATTATGGCAAGGTAACATTATAAGATTTCTTTCTGACTTTCTGTAGTCCTAGCTGCCATGAACTTTACAATATAAATATATTGCTTATTTACATGTATGTTCATGCAATTTTTCACAGTTCTGCTACTGATACTTCATACAATTGAAAATGTTTTTGAAAATTATTTAAGGTAATTGGCAAAAGAACAAGAGGGGAGATGAAGAGATTTTTTTTTGCACAGTGAGTTGTTACGATGTGGAATGCACTACCTGAAAGGGTGGTGGAAGCAGATTCAATATATACTTGAAGTTGCAAGGCTGTGGGGAAAGAGCGGGGGAGTGGAACTAGTTGGATAGCTCTTGCAAAGAGCAGGCACAGGCACGATGGGCTGAATGGCCTCTTTCTGTGCTGTAGGATTTTATGATTCTAGGATTTTATGATTCTATGTTACAGCTCTTTGAAAATCACCTTTTTAAATCCACTACATGCAAAGGTCTGCACAACCAGATCTGAATTGCCTGTGCCACACCTCCCATTCAAGGAGCAATTGAATGAATATCCATAAATTCACAGGTCTTGGTGGATTAATCTCCACCAATCTGTAGATTGATGGATTTTGGTGATAAGAGTATACACCTAGGATTTTCACACTGCCAAGGTCTGTCCAATTACTAGTTCACAAAAAATCATCCCATCAAATAACTTATAAGAAGTCTTACTCCCCTCTATGTATCACTCTGTAACGCAATAAAAGCACCGAAGTGTAATTGTAAGCAAATGCGGCCATCAATTTATGCACAGCAACATCCTACAAACAGTCATGTAGAGAGGGCCAATTTTATTTGGGTTGTTGGCCAGAGTACTAGGAGAATTTTGCTTCTTTTTTCAAACAGTCATGGGATCTTTAACATTCGATCTGAAGGAATTCACTTCTAATCAAGCAGTACACTCCCAGCACTGCATTGGAGTGTCAGCCTAGACAGCTTTCAAACTTCCAGTGGATATGAGGTGGCTGAGTAAGGCTTAAGCTCCCCTTGGGAACAATACTATTCTGAAGCATTTGCTAGAGATAAACCAGGAATCGATACTCCAGCACAAGATTTCAACTGTTAACTGCAAAAGAGATGATTTTCTTCATGAGAACAAAAAGGCCAGAAATAATTATAATTTCCGTGATTTAAATAATATTCAAATATGTTAAATGAAACACTGCACAATTGCACTGCTAGGTTATTTTAGTTACAAGGAACATTCAGAACTCACTGGTGCCGTTTCTTGTTATGCATGAGTTATAAAGTTTTCACATTGCAAAATGAAATTAGCAATTTACAAATTCCTGACCTGCGATTTTCTGCAACGCTGCATTGCATTAACATGCGTGATTGCTAATAAAGTATAATTGCCTTTCATAATTTAGATTTGTAGATTTAAATTTATATGTGCTTCTTAGCACATTCTTATCTACAAGAGTTCTGTTCACTGTGACTGTCATATGACTTTCATATGTGACTAAAAGCAGCTGATCACAGCCTCCACTGCAGACTGTAATCTTGTCAAAGAGTTTGTTTATTTTACCCTTGTTTTGCAGGCTAAAAGCCACATTCCATCTTACTTTTTTTTATTATTTTTTAGTATCTGGAACAAATCGAGTTAAATCCTCTTTAGGACCATCCCTTGAACATTGCATTAATAGATGAATAGCTTGGCTTTGTGTTTGACCTGCTCATAGAAAGAACATATGAACGATCAATGAGAACCAGACACTATTGGGTTGTTTGGTAAACGTCTGCCGTTTGTTCATCGCTCATTATGGAGTTCATTTGAGTCCAGAATATTTTGTTACATATATAATAAGTTCATTAGAAAATATTCATTTAAAACTATTGGCATTGATGGCTAGAAAAATTTTCGTCCAAAAATATTTGAAAGGATTTCTCATAATCTGTGACAGTTTTCCTCTATTTTACTTGTTGAACTGGAGGATTGCATCAAAGATAAAATAAGAGCATAAACTCTCACTAAATAATGCAGCTGAGATTTTTATTTTGGGATTTTGCACAAATATGTAGATTTTCCTACATGTGAGAGAGGCTGTTTTTCATTATGTTTCTTCACTAACTTTGCACAGTACCTCAGTGTCTGTGAAAGCATTGCTCTGTTACGAAATGTACCACTCTGCAATTTTAAATTGCGACCACATGGGTTTAATGGATTCCAGCTCAGAAAACTGGATGAACAGAATGGTTTGTGAGTGTGGTTGCTTATTCAGACTTATTAGTGTTTTTGGACCACAAGATATCCACTGCATACATTTGGGTTTCAGCCCAATCTAGCAATTATAAACTGTTGAGCTATAAAACTCTCTGGAGTTCACTTTACTCATTTCCAAGAAGTTTAAATCTAATGGCAATCGAAGCTTCTCTAATGGCCTTGTGCCCACTGCAGGAGAAGGTGGTATAAGCCAGAAAGTCGCTGGTTCAAATCCTGATCTATTCTGAGTTAGCTGATCTCAACTAGGGCAGCAATTCAAATGTCAGATCAGGGATTCTTCCCACTCGGCTCCTGCTAACCGTGCAAGCCAAGCTCTAATAGATAGGATGGTTCTATCTGGACAAGCAGTGGAATGCTTGCCAGAAGGTGCTCTCAAATGGAGTTATCCTCCAGGAGTTACTCCAATGCACATCTGGGGTCTCCAACCCTTGGCTTTTGCCAACCTGTGCTTGATACTCCTGGGGTTAGGTAAACACGGTGCGACTCTCGAGGGAGAGAGTGTGCATTTCAGATGCAGGGAAATTTCCATGTGTCATACATATGTGGAACTTTCAATCTAGTTTGGATACTATTAAGCTTGGTGTTAGGTTTCTGTATATGTCAGACACCTGGCTGACCAGAAAAAAGTTATTTCATTCAGTGGTTCGGTTGAAGTCCTAAAGTGTGAGAATAAAACCATAGTAATTTCACATCAGCGGTGGCCAGGGATTGAATTACTGCCATGGCCACACTTCCAGATGCTTGTTAGTTTTTTATGTATATATTATATATGTTTCTAATTACATGCAGTTTTACTTTATTGCAGTAGTCAAGCTGAGCACAATGGAAACAGTATGAGAAAGATTACAGGGTAATGATGATGGAAGTAGTGTATTAGCTGAAGGTTTATGTCATTCTTTTTCCTTTATAATTTTGGTGATTTTGCTTCTCTTCATAGTGAGGGTTGTCAGTGCATTTGGGGCACCCATTGTCCACATGAAACATGCAGTACATTGGTCAGGTATATCGCAGGTTAGATACAAAGAAGAGGTCTACCCACTCTGCCCAAACCTCAGAAAAGCACCACCTCCTGTAACCAATGTAATATTGATTCATGTAGCATTGTAGTGGAATCTTGTAGTTCAGTGGCAAGAGCACTCACCTTGCAATTGAGAGACCAGTGTTCAATTCCCGGCAGAGCGAAACGTTGGGAAAGTTTCCTTACTCCACACGTCTGTTTACCTAGCAGTAAGTAAGAATCCGGTTGTTAGTCGATTGGCAGATCACTTTTCTAGGGGTAATAATTCCTTCAAAAAAAATAATAATACTAAATTGGCAACTCAATCCGTGACTGTTTGTGGAACACTGCTGAGCACAATTGGCTTCCGTGTTTTGCCCACAAAACATACAGTCAATTCACTTTACAGTATATTCTGTGAAGTGCTTTGAGACATCTCGAAGACATGGTAAGGCGCTATATCAAATACAAGGACTATTATTATTATGTACCAGCCAATTTAAGCACAACAATGTTAGTTTACATAGAATTACATTGAATGGACAGCAAGGAAACAGGCCATTCAGCCCAACTTGTGGAGTCCTGTAGCTCAGTGGTTAGAGCACTCGCTTTGCAAGCGAGAGACCTGAGTTCAATTCCAGGCAGGGCGAAACCTTGGGCAAGTTTCCTTACTCCACACGCCTAATAATAATCCCTCCAAAAACCCAAAACAATAATAAATTGGTCATTTTCAATCTACGACTGTTTGTGGGACATTGCTGTGCGCAATTGGCTGCCGCGTTCGCCCACAAATATACAGTCAATTCACTTTGCAGTATGTTCTGTGAAGCGCTTTGGGACGTCCTCCCGACGTGAAAAGCGCTATATCAAATGCAAGGATTATTAACTAGACTGTGCTTGTGTTTTTACCTCACATGAGTCTCCACCCACAGTTTACTCCTTCCCATCTATTCATGTCTTCCTCATGTGTATATCTAGTTAGTACAGAGCACTGTGATTCCCTTCCTCCTCCCCATTCGTTTCAATGTGATCCCAGGAGCAAGATAATATTATCAATAATAATAACAAATACAAGGATTAATTAATTAATGCCAGTCACCCTGTGGCTTCTCAGTGAGATTGCCAATTTTGTGAGGGCAGTTTTAAGGGCAGTTTTGTGAATCCATGTCTGCTAGGAACTAGGTTGACATTTATTCTAATTTATTCCATATAGAAACCCACAGCCAACAAATACAAGAGATATCTGTCCCAACAAGCAGGGCTGGTTTCAAGTTTATATAAGTTTATTTCATAATAATACAGTAATTATTATTTAAATTGAGCCTTTTTTGACATAAATTACATAAACTCAAGATTATCATCAGAAACATAGAAGGAAGGTTAGCATTATTGTTGCCTAAAATGTTTCAGGATAAAGTGCACATCACCAGAAGTGATAATTGAAACTGAGTCAATTGCAACATTTAAAAGGGAATTAGTTTAAGAAAAATAATGAAAGAACAGTTACATAAAATAAACTATTGTGGACTGTTTGAGGTATAAACCAGTGGAGTCCTGTAGCTCAGTGGTTAGAGCACTCGCTTTGCAAGTGAGAGACCTGAGTTCAATTCCAGGCAGAGGGCGAAACCTTGGGCAAGTTTCCTTACTCCACACAGAGCCTAATAATAATCCCTCCAAAACCAAAAACAATAATAAATTGGTCATTTTCAATCTACGACTGTTTGTGGGACATTGCTGTGCGCAATTGGCTGCCGTGTTCGCCCACAAATATACAGTCAATTCACTTTACAGTGTGTTCTGTGAAGCGCTTTGGGACATCCTCCCGACGTGAAAAGCGCTATATCAAATGCAAGGATTATAGGATTATTTATTATATAAACACTGGTACTGACTAGTTAGGCTGAATGGCCTATTTCAATGATGTCCAAATTCTTTAATTCTATGGAAAATTTACAGTTAAAAAGCAGGGATCCAACTAAATACTATAGCTCAAAGGGGGAAGCTAACACTAGGGCAGGCATAATGAGCCAAAGGGTTTGCTTCTGTGCTGAAAATGCTATAATATTACAGGCCACCTAGGAAAACAGGAGCAGGAGTAAACCATCCAGCATTTCAAGCCTATTCCACCCGATTTTTAGATCTTCACAGGTTTTTTAATCCAATTGCCTTTCCCTATTCACCATTTCCCTGAATACCTCTGCTATCCAAGTATCTAGTTATCTCTCTTTAAAAATATCTTTATGTATTCTGCCTCTACAGTTCCTGGGGCAGAGCATTCCACATCTTCACAACCCTCTATGTGAAGAAATAACTCCTGACCTCAATCCTAACTGTCTTTGTTCAGATTTTAAGATTATGTACCCTTATAATTGATCCCTCTATCAGAAACAAGAGACATTCATAATCTAACCTGTCAATTCCTTTCATTATTTTAAGATTCTCAATCAAATGACACCTTAAACTATTCTGCTGTTGAAGAATATAGCCTGAGTCTATCCAGCTTTTCATTATAGCTAAACCACTTCTAACCAGGTATTAATCTAGGCTAGTTTAATTTGGGTATTATTAAAAGAGAGAGGATAGAAAAAAGAGCAGGTGTCTTATGAATTTCTCTGAGGTCATTGCTGGGAGCAAAGAAAGGCTTGGAAAAATTGCTACAGTGTCAGTGAACCCACTTTTTGACACAGTTTAACAACAACAAGATTCCATTTATAGAGCGTCTTTCACGTCGGAAGGACGTCCCAATACAGCATAATACAGCATAAGTCCAAAGAAGTCTGGTTCAATAAGTGAGACCCAACTCTCCATATAAACCCCTGTGTACAACGGGCATAGCTCCAACTTCTAACGCTCTTGTTCCAGTTACATGCCGAGTAATAGGGAACTGCATTTAAAATATTGCTTCCTGCTTGTGTTGGCCAGGTTATAAATGGGAACTCTCAAGTTCACTCCATAATCAAACAATCAAACAGGTGATCAACACGTACTGAGATGCAACTAAGGCTGATGTGATGCTGAATACTGCAAAGTAGTCACTTTGGATCTGGGTCATATGTGGTGTGCAAATCCTCAAACATGCACAGTGCTGGTTCAATCTTTGAAGGTCATGAGATTACATACCTTATCAGCCTTAGGAGGAGCTTCAGACTCCTCTCTATAGTTACAATGCACTTTATGCCAAGATCCTGTACACTGTATGCAATTTATGCCTGTTTGCAGAACCTTGGGATGTCCTCCCAGTGTCAGCCCTGAACCTAACCCTAATGTGACGCATCTCAGTGAAACTTTCAGACCAGATTAAATCCATACAAATACAACAACAATAACTTGCATTTATATAGCTCACTTCACGCAGGGTGGCATCCTGGAGCTCTTGTTAGAAAATAGAAATATACTAGCCAACAGAAATTATACTACCAATAACAAGATGATTAGATTTAGCTGTATCTTGTGTATATGTTAGCAGAATGACTGTCTAAACTGCAGAGAAGTGAAGATGCATCCAATTTCAATCCATTGCCAAATTCAGTAGGGTTCAGTAGGTGTGAAATGTATTTTACACTACATACAATAGAGGTTTTGTAATGCTATTTTCTGGCCAGAATCTAATTATTTATTATTTTTTCATCCTCTTTTGAATGTAGATTGCCTTGCCAAGAAGTGGTGTTGAAGCCAAGACCATTACATTTAAAAAAAAGGAATTGGATAAGTATTGGAAGAGAAACGACACACTGGGGACAGAACGGAGAATTGGGATTAGGACATGTAGCACCAATAGAGGAGCTAGCACTAGTATAGGCCTTAATAGCCTCCTTCTGTGCTGTAATTTCCATGATTTATTTGGTATGCTCAGTGCCAGCAAACAACAAAAAAAATTACATTTATAGAGCGTCTTTCACGTCGGGAGGACGTCTCGAGGTGCAGTGCCCCATGGATCTCTGGAAGGAATCTATTTATTGTACTAGACAGCAAAGACAATGGCTTCCAGGTGTAATGGATACCAGCTCTGAGTTTCCATGTTATAAAACAACAGACCTTTGTTGCAAGCAGTGACATTTTTCAATGGAAATGCTGCCGGAAATCATGATCATAAGCTTTATGTGTTTTTAAAAATCAACATTTCAGATTTTTCCTGGAAGAAGCTTCTGTCATTGGCAGATGGGACCATTGGCAGTTGGCACACCCACAAACCTAATGACCGAGCAACACCAGCTGCATCTGTGTTTGATGTTATAGTATCTCCCTCCAGCAGGTCAGAGCCAGGAATAAAATAGCGAATTTAGGTTGGCATCAATGTATTGACCTGGTGTCAAATTGAATGTTAAATAAGACTGAACTCATTGAGCTGTTAGTGCTTAACAGCATTCAGACTCCATGCATCTGCTTTTCCTTTCATTTATCTGCTAAAATATTGCTCTAGTCTGATAACTGGTTACTATCTAGTTATTTTGAAAATAAAATGATTTGCTTATGGCTTGTTGACTTCATAATCAATGGTTACCTGCACAAAAGCACAGTTATTACACTTTTCATGGAGTCCCATTGCGTAGTGGTTAACGCATTCATGCAAGCGAGAGGATCTGGATTTGATTCCAGGGCAGGGCAATACTTGAGGCAATTGGATAATTCACACACCTCTGTTCAGCTAGCCGGAAGTAGGAACCTGATTGTTAGTTGAATGTCGGATCTTTTTCCGTGGATAATAATTCCTCAAAAAACAATTTGGTCACTCAATCCACGAATGTCTGTGGGACACTGCTATGTGCAATTGGCTGCCGCATTTTGCCCACAAAATACACTATCAATCAATTCTTCAATTGTAACAGTCTCAATGATGTGATAAGGGACTATATCGAATGCAAGGATTATTATTATTACTTTACAGTCAATCCTGTGAAGTGTTTTGTGATGTCTTCCAGACATGAAAGACACTGTATCAAATGTAATGATTATTTATAAAGTATTTTACTCAAGACTTTTTAGGCGCATTAGATAGTTTTGTAGATGATATAATCCATAGGAAGGAATGTAACTCAGTGTTAGATTTTCAAAACACCTCCGTAAGGAGAATCAACTATTTTACATAAAAGAAGCACAGCACATCTGGCTTTACAAACACTAACCCGCTTGAGGAATTAATTACCAGTAATGAAATTGTAGCTGCCACAGTAACCATAGCAAAGAGAAACTGCATGCACATTTACAAGGATTGACAGGGAGGGATGAAGCAAACTCAAATGGGCTTTTGTTAACCACTGTGTTCTATTTCACCTACAAAATACACAGTCATGCCACCTTACAGTGTACCCTGGGAAGCGCTTTGAGGTATCCTCCTGATGTGAAAGGCACTATATCAAATTCAAGGATTATTATTATTTAATTCCTGAAATTTGGAAAAGTAAAAATCAGGTGTGGTAGAATTAATTCCATCAAAAGTGACATAGTGCTCCTTAATCCTATCTGAGTGAATTGTTGAACTAAATAGTTGGATCGAATACTGGATAAGAATTAGGAAGCAGAAGGTGATGACAAACAGATAAAGGTCCACCTGCGGGGGGAGTGGGGGGTAGCGATGACAAGCAAATTTCTGCCATGTGCTGTGTACACCATTCATTACCGGCTCCTTTTATTACAGTACTGTAAAATTTACTGAAAATACAAATCTTTCTAGATAGATGAATCATCTAAGGAAGACAAACAACACACAATAAGATCTGGACCAATTGAGTAGAAGAGTGAGAAGTGGATTTTAATGTAAACCAATGCAAGGTAATGAACAACAAACAGGAAAACCGTAAACTTGTTTACCAAATGAAGAGGTGTCCATCAGCAAAGATGGAGAAGGAACAACAACAACAACAAAATTACATTTATAGAGCACCTTTCACATTGGGAGGAAGTTCCAAAGCGCTGAACAATCAGGTGATGGGACCTGAGCATGGGGAAGGGGTGGTGTAGGGGTAAGGGAAGGCAGAGAGGTGGGAGGGCGACCAAAGGCACGATCGAAGAGAAGGGTCTTGAGACCGGCTTTGAAGGAGGCAAGGGAGGAAGCGAGGTGAAGGGACCGTGGGATGGAGTTCCAGAGTGTGGGGGCAGAAAGGCTGAAAGCCCAGCCACCGATGGTAGGGCAGGCAGGGCGGGAGACATGGAGCAGGCTGGAGCCCAATGAACGCAGGGAGCGGGCAGGTTGGTAGGGAGTCAGCAGGTCAGAAAGGTAGGAGGGGGCAAAGCCATCGATGGTCTTAAAATTGAGGACGAGGATCTTGAACTCGATCCTCTGGGGAATGGAGAGCCAGCGGAGTCGGGCGAGGGTGGGAGTAATGGGGTCACGGAGCCTGGTGGTAGGCAGTGCCGGTGATGGCATGGATGTGGGGGAGAAAGGACAGTTCAGAGTCAAACAAGATACCCAGGTTCCTGACTGGCTTAGTCAGGTTGAGCGTGCAGCTGTGGCGGCTGATGCTGCCAGTGCCCAAGGTGCGGAGGTGCTGGCTCGAGCCAATCAGGAGGGCCTCGGTCTTGCTGACGTTGAGTTGGAGAAAGTTGGCCCTCGTCCAGGACTTGATGTCAGACAGGCAGTCAGTCAGGACGCCAGTAGTCCTGGAGTTCAGGGTGGAGGCAGAGAGGTAGAGTTGGGTGTCATCCGCATACATGTGAAGAAGGTTTGAGTATTATTACCGGTTAATCATTGAATGTTTCAAGTCAATGTGATAGTCACAAGCCTGATTCCTCATATTGATTGAAACTTCTGGTTTGCAAAATAAGCAGCTGGCCATTTTGTTCGCTGACCCTTTTTTTGGACTTTACTGATTGGAATTCACAGACTGTAAATGTTGCTGCAAATACAACAACTTTATTTATATAGCACTCCTCATGCAGGGTAGGGACCCAGAGCGCTTTATCACACATTAAATGTCACACATTAAATGGGGACGTCCTCCCGACATGAAAGCCGCTATATAAATGTAATTTTGTATTCTAAATATTCCCTCCCTTATGAAGCATCTCCTGCACCTCTGGATAATTCATGGTTGATATTAAAACAATCTCTTTTAAGAATATCTCTTAATTTGATCTTTTAGTTTAAACCGTAAGTTAAACTCTTTAGGGTAAGGCAGAGAAGCTGAGCAAATAGTTTAAAGGTTGCATTGTTTTCTATACTGCTGCTGAGGGGTGGGGAAGGAATGTTATTTGTGAAGGAAGGTCAGATATGAAGAACGGAGACTCGGAGATGGAAGACCTTTCTACAGTTTTTGTTTGATTACTACTCGGGTTTTTTTTTACCCCAGATGGTAGAGCGATATGATAAGGCTAGGTTTCAGGCGATCTGTCTGAGGATCGGGGTTGATGGGCTGAATGGCAATTCTCATTCCATGTAATTCCCATTTTCCTATAAACAGTCGTGTGATAGAATCATAGAAATGATTGCATTCAACCTGCCTCATACTGAAATAGACCTTGACAACAATGTTTTAAGTATTCCCCTTCCCCTTCGCCCTCCCCCCTCCTCGGCACTTTGTGAATGCCCTGAGACATTATCCTACATGAAGGGCATGATATAGTTCCAAGATGCTATTGTATTCTCACCAATTGAAAAGGAACAAAAATGTTAAACAGGTCCTCTTAACAAGAGAAAAGTTGCTTCGAAAAGTGTCTTTCAATACTAGACATTGTCCCATAATAATTAGTTTCCTTCCTTGTAAAAGAGTTCACACGAATGACTTAAGGCCTTGAAGCGTAGGTGTGTCTCTTTTTTTGCAGTGAAGGTTCGATAACAATGATGTAACCGGAACCCATACTATTGTGTCCTGAATTACACAATAGATCTCTTAACTCTGGGAGAAAATAATTCTGCTGTCAGAATTTTTTACTGCAGATGAGCTAATGCAGGCTCATATCATTTATGCCACTTCTTCCAATGAATCATCTTATCTTCCACTCATCTGCAGTATTGAAAAGGCCAGAACTCAAATATGGCAAATAGAACATTTCCGGAAAAAAAACCTTTCAGTTAAAACCTCCTTGGCTTTGAGTTCGATGTTGAAGATTCAAATTATTAACCTCAACAAAAGTTCACAATGAGAAAATTAATTCAGATGCTGACTTATCTTTAGATGGACTTTCAGCACTGATTCACTGTAAAACCAGAACAAATATAAAATAATTCACTACTCCAAATACAGATATATATTTTTGTGGCAGATTGATTTTTGGGGCTATCTGTATTCCAGGTTATATTCAGGCTATATGCAAAGGTATTAAAAAAAACATGTGAGTTTCCTTTGTTTGATAATCTTATATTTACTAAAAGTAATAGGCTTGCCATAGATTTGTGAAATAACGACAGATGGTCAGGAGACACATGCTTCACGGCTGTTTGTGGGAGTGTTCAATGTGCAAATTGGCTGTGTGTTTGCCTTCAAGATATACAGTCTTTACAATAAATCCTGTGAAGCACTTTGAAACACTCTCTTGATGTGAAAGGCGCAATATCAAATGCAAGTATTATTATTATTATTGGTGTTCTGAATGTAGGATGGTTCATGAATATATCAGAACTGCAGGCAATACTCGGAAATGCTCTCCATGGTGTTTAACAATAATAATCCTTGCATTTGATATAGCGCCTTATCACGTCTTCGAGACATCTCAAAGCGCTTCACAGAATATACTGTAAAGTGAATTGACTATATTTTATGGGCGGAACGCAGCAGCCAATTGTGCACAGCAGTATCCCACAAACAGTCATGTATTGAAGTAATCAATTTATTATTTTTTTTGAAGGAATTATTATCCCTGGAAAAGCGATCTGCCAATCGATTAACAACCAGGTTTCTACTTACTGCTCGGTAAACAGAGGCATGTGGAGTAAGGAAACTTGCC